CGTAATCTCCATGGTTACGTGGTTTACAAATTTAGCCGACGAATTCAGTATCTTAATTTAAACAACAGCGTTCAATACAATATAAATAATTTATTGAAAAAAAGAAACATACTTGATACTGGCAATGTATCCACGGTTTGGAATTAATTTATCAATGTTCAATTTATAATTTTTATTTGCACTTATAATGAACTGAAGGAAGTATTTCTTTTAAGTGAGTATTTCTTAGTAAGTAATCAAGGTATAAAATGATAATGCCGATATTGTGCTATGATGTATTACTATACGCGAGAATTCCCAAGATTGCGCGAGAATTCTCCGGAAGATGCGCGACCTATTTTTGGCTCATATCCAATAGCCTGTCTTTTTTGAAGATGGAGTAAAACGACGATTCATTGCGCAAATGTGCTGCCCACTTGCAAGTAGGTAGTGATTGCAGCAATCGATAAATATTCTATCGACTATCGATGTGTGTTGTTGAATGTTGGACACACGTTTATCGCATTTATATACGCACATTTTATATACGCAATTAATCGCCGTACTCATTTCAATTGAATCATCATCGGGCCATTGTTCGTCCAACTGCTGGGCACAGATTCATTTGAATTGTCAGTTTTTGAAGTTCATACAGTGCGCATAGAACTTTGTCTATAAAAATACCAAGAGGAGACATATTTTAAAGAATAAACAAAGGAGAAACGTCGCAATATTCACACATTTTCGGAAAAAATTTGACTTCGTTCATAATCTACTGATAAAACTGTCGACAACAACCACATGACTATTTAAAATGAAAACTGGCAACCTTACAAACGTAATTTTACTCCGTCTTTAAAAAATACAGACTATAGTTTGAACGTTACACAATTGACATAAAGTTCATTATGCTATGATGACAAAAGCTAGTTTCCATTCTGCTGGACAACAATCTAAATTGAGTCTTAAAAAATAGTGACTCCCTATGAGGTTATGAAAATATCAATTGGTACTTACAATTGTGCTTGAACCGGAGACATCCATTCGTCGGCCTATTGATTGAACAAAACAGGAATTATTTTCGTAATATTCACAGTTTATCTTCCAGTGACTAAAGTTTATCAAGTACCTATTTATCTAATTTTCTTATTTATACATACATTCAATAGCATTCTCGCATTTGTAAATAATAACTGTATTCTGATATCTTTATATTACCTACTTGTTGACGTATTAGTAATTCTATACTACTAAATATGATACATAAGTTCTATAGAGATCTGATCTCTCATTGATGCAAGCATCGTGTTGTGCTTAATCTTGTTGGTTGTCCATACAGGGTTAATTTGCGTCGTTAAATTCTTTTTGAATTTGAAAATTTGGTAACAGTGACTCCAGATGATACTTCGGGCATATCGTCTTACTATTGAAATCAAAATCAGTTTAATTCTACTTTTTACATTTTATTGAAGAGTGAAAAGAACCTACCATAATATTCTATTTGGTACATGAGACGTTAAGTTTTGTAATTTATCAATAGTACAATTTTTCGTTCTTCGGGACAGGCTGATGCGTCTAATTGACCAGACTGCCCGATCTTAGAACGTAATTTTTTTTACACTTTTTTTTTATAATATCAAGTGACGGAACGAACAAGTCGTGCGCCTGATGGTAAGGTACACGCCTCTCCATAACAGTTGCAGTACCACGCAGAGCTTTAAATCGCAAAGACCTGAGGGGCACTGCCACTGCGCCCGTCACCTTGAGACATAAGTTGACAAGTCCCATGTGCCCGTAATTTCAATAGCACCCTTACCCTTCAAAACCTGAACACAGTAATGCTGACATTACTGCTTGGCGGCGGAAATAGATAAGGTCGCAGTACTTCCCTGGACGAACTCTTTCACAAGGAGCTCTACTGCTACTACTCACTAATGTTCTGAAAGTGTAATTTGTAATTTTTACCATTAATTTGGCATTTACATTGTATGGTAACTATACAGAGAGACAGAATGATTAGAAGCATATTAGATGGTGCTGGAGAAGAATGAAGGAATCAGTTGGACAGAAACCAATGAGGAGATGTTACGAATGGGCCAGGAAAAGTAAAGCTTATTAAAGACAATAGAGAACCGAATCCGAAAGATGTTTGGGCATCTGATACGTCCGGCAGTTTTTTTAGAAGCATTATATCGCATAAGATCGAAGGAAAGACTTAGAGTAAAACTTAGATCGGAGAAGGGAAAGAAATAATGTCGTGTCGCATCAGGAAATAAAAATAAAGGGCGCGAGTAAATATGATTGGCGAATATTTTACCGACAAGAGCCTTAAATACGAAGAAAAAGAAAGCGTTTTGAATTTTAGTTTGATTTTGAAGACGTATCTCGCCAACCATTGTAATTCAATACACTTTTCGAAATAGCGATAATAATATATATTTTGTTATAAACACTGATTTGCAAATAATTATATCCATAAGAGGCTACAGACGTCGTTTCCTCCCGAAAATATTCACGATGTTGATTATTCTTACCCAATCGCAACGGCCGATGTGAGATAGTTGCAAAAATAATAACAACGTTTTATAAACCATATTCTGAATTAAATTCTTTAGAACCTTCTGTGGTCGTCGTTTCCTCAATAATGTAAGGAAAAGGCTTTTGTTTTTGAAACGTTTACAAACTCTGTGATAAGTGTCGACCAATCATTGTTAAGAGGCTATTGTTTGCCAGTGATAGGTATATTTTTTTTTAAATTTCGCGTGCAGGTGGAGCGAACGAAATTTTTTTTTTTTCATTATTAGTATTATAATGCTAGCTACAGGTTTTAATTAAAATACAACGTAAGTATGTATTCATTTCTTAACTACACTGTTGAGTATCTTTTTTTATGGTTCTAAGTGATGGGACGAAAAGTGCGCCTAGTGGTAAGCGACACGTTTGTCCATGCAGTTGCAGTGCCACTCAGAGCTTTAAATTGTAAATATCTAAGGGACACTGCCACTGCGCCTGTCACCCTGAGACATACACACAGATCTTTGCGATTTAAAGCTCTGGAGCTTACCATCAGGCGCACGACTAGTTCGTCCCGTCACTTGATATTACAAAAAAAATTGGGTAGTTTTTTTTATAATAATAATAATAACGCACACACTCAACATAACCCCGCACTAGGGAAAACCCTGTGTCGCAGGTGCCATGGACACACACATAGAAAACCACAAATTACACCCAAACTCACGAGAGAAATAAATGTAGGCCATACAAATATTTCTCCCGACCCGGGAATCGAACCTGGGACCTCTGCGTGGCAGTCCGGCGTGGTAACCGTTCGGCCACGGACCTAGTTCAATAATATAATATATAATATCAAATGACAGGTCGAACAAGTCGTGCGCATGGTGTTAAGTAACACGCCTGTCCATAAGAGGTGCAGTGCCACTCAGAACTTGAAACCGCAAAGATCTCGGGGGCACTGCCACTGCGCCCGTCACCCTGAGACAAGTTTGACAATGTGTCTGTAATTTCAACAGCACCCCTGCTACACTTCCCTTCAAAACCGAAACGCAGTGATGCTCACATTACTGCTTGACGACAGAAATGGTTAAGATGACTGAACTTCCATGGACGAACGCTTTCGCAAAGAACTCTACGTTACTTTTTTGTTCTCTGGCTCTACTACTAAATAAAGTAGGGGCGAACCAGGCCAAGGGGAAACCTAGCAGCCGTAAGTCCCCGTATCGAGCAGCCGTGGAATACCAGCCGAGAGCGGGTGTTCAGCAGACCGACTAATAACAATTACGCCCCTTCATTTTGCCGCTACTATTTTTTTTAATAATAACGCACACTCTCAACATAGCCCCGCACTAGGGATACCCTGTTTCGCGGGTGCCATGGAAACACACATAGACAATCACAAAATTACACCCAAACTCACGAGAGAAATAAATGTAGGCCTTCTAAATATTTCTCCCGGCCCGGGAATCAAACCTGGGACCTCTGCGTGGCAGTCCGGCATGGTAACCGTTCGGCCACTGAGGCAGTTACTATTGAAATTTTTTTGTTTCATAGTAAGAAATTATTAAAACGAAGGACGTACGCAGCTACGTGTATCGGATTTTACTTTTGGGAGTAGACGCTCAAGTTAGAGAATGTATATATATATATATAGTACTGCGGCGATATTGTAATACCGTATTAAACACATATCAGATAAAAAGGTTACATGAAGTTTATAGCTATTCATTGTGTTTTATCACATATAGACAGATAGCAATCGAACTGTGGACTTAAACAGACTGTGCACTCGGATACATCGATAAATGCTGTTAGAGTATGATTTATAAGCTCGTGCATTCCCAAAGATTAACTTCACTTGATATTATAATTAAGTATTTAATTAGCTGAGAAGGTTATGTGTGTTTTTGAGGAAAAATACAGCTACGAAAAAAATGTTACGTTTTAACTGGGCTTTAGGACAGACCATACAATTCCAAAAAAGCCTAGCCGTATTCCAGCTGTTGATTGTAGGTACCATTAGCAAAGTCAAAGCGGTACCACCTTATGGGTTATTTTAGTGTACAGGCAACTGCGGTACATGGCGACACCCGCAGATAGCATGTTGTCGTCACCCAATAGCGCCAGAGAAATGAGTTAATAAAATAAGGTACGAGAATCTCGGCTTGCGAACAGGGACTTTTTTATGACACCAAATGTCGAGACGAACAAGTCGTGGGCCTGGTGGTAGGCGACACGATTGTCTATAACAGTTGCAGTGCCACTCAGAGCTTTAAACCGCAAAGATCTGAGGGGCACTGCCACTGCGCCCGTCACCTTGAGACATATCAGGCACAAGTCCCATGTACCTGCAAAATTTCACCAGCACCCCTACCCTTCAAAACCGGAACGCAGTAATGCTCACATTTTTCCCTGGACGAACTCTTTCACAAAGATCTCTACTGCTACTGGCTTACATTCTGCAAAGTTATTTTTGCTGTATACGATGTTTATAATTATCTGTTATGTTTGTTGCAGCGGAGCAGTTCGTGGATAAGCTTTTGACGCAAGAAGCGATGGAAGAACCTTGCGACAAAGTCAAACCTGAGGAGTTGACATTGGAATTGCCAGAATGGTTTGATGAAAAGAAATTCAATCAGTAAGTTAACTTTAATACTTGCTTAAAGAACGAATACTTCTTGCATACTTCTGGCATGTATTTAAATGATCATTTCAAATTTGCAAAAGCAGCAGGCAATACATCTAAACGGTCATCTTTTTTAATGATTGAACTTTCTCTGAGTTAAATATATTATTATAATTATTGTACATAATTGTATAATTATTATTTATAAATTATTAATTATTATATATATACAAAAGGTATCGAAATTTTTGTAATATACTTAAAAAAAGTTAAACAAAATTATGAACAAAATCAAATAAATCTATGTAAAAATGACAATAAAAAGTTATGGAATGCAATTAATACTATTTCAAATAGAAATAAAACTAAAGAGCCAGTTTTTGAAGTGTCTTTGTTAGCATAGGATCAGAACTCGCAAACAAACTTCCATCGAACTTTGCCCTATTTCCTCATAATTGTATCAGAAACTTCAACTTAGAGTACACATCATTTGTACTGCAGGGAACTGATTCTGAGGAAGTAGAATGAGTCATTAATTCCCCAAACGATACCTCTGCTGGATGTGATGGTATTTCAGCTAAAGTACTAAAAGCTATTCAAAGTATTATATCTCCAACAGTTACTTATCTTTTAAATCGTTGCTTAATGGAAGGTGTGTTCCCGAACGCGCTAAAAAAGTCGGTAGTTTTACCGATTCACAAAAATGGGGCAAGAGACAGTGTAAACAACTATCGACCGATCTCCATTCTGCCTTCATTATCTAAACTTTAAAAAAAAAATCATGAATAAGCGCCTTATTAGCTATTTGGAAAACAAAAAATTACTATCTTAAGATCAATATGGTTTTAGGTTGAGAAGATCTACTGCTGACGCTGTCCAGGATTTTGCGGACTTCATCAGTAACAAACTATAGAAAAATGAAATGTTTAACGGTGTTTCTTTACTTGGCAAAGGCGTTTGACACTGTCTCTTGTCACAACCTTTTACTTAAATTGGAAAGTATGGGAATTAGATGCAACCAGTTGCGTTTAGTGAAAGATTATCTTACTAACCGTACCCAACGCGTAAAAATTCAGAACGTTGAGAGTGAAGAGAAACCTGGAAGTTGTGGTGTCCCGCAGGGTAGCATCTTAGGCCCTACTTTGTTTTTATATTATATTAACGATCTGTGCCAGTTAAATATAGAGAAAGTGAAATATAGAGATGCTGACGACACTACACTTACTTTTTATGGAGACAGTTGCCCAACGTTTTTAAACTTGCACAGCAGGGTTTTGACAAGGTATGCCATTGGCTGGCAGCTAACTCTCTCACTCTTAATGCTGGTAAAACCAAATATATTCCTTTTTCGATTCGCAATCCACCTTTCTCTGATAATGTTTATTACAATATCATAGCTCACAGCTGTCACAATGATAACTCAGGAGCTTGTTCGGACAATTGCATTTCTATTGAGCGAACAGACAATATCAAATATCTTGGGGTCATAACAGACAAAAGTCTGACATTTGAGGAACATAGAGGAGGTTAGTTTGTCTTCAGACAGTTGCGAAATGTTGTTGAGACAAACCTCCTGAAAAACATTTATGTTGCGCTTTGTCAGTCTATCCTTTCTTATTACATAACAGCTTGAGATGGGGCGTCAATGTCACACTTACTTCCATTGGAAAGGGCGCAACGGCTAATATTAAGAATTTGTGTTCACAAACCACGTTTGTTTCCTACGGTCGAATTATACAAATTAGGTGAGGTGTTAACTGTTCGTCAGCTGTACATTCTTTCGACAGTATTAAGTCGACATTCCGAAATGGTTTTTACACCGGATCACTCAAATGCACAAATACGAAGTCATTACATAGTTTGCCCAACTGTCAAGACTAGAACTTCATTTATACGAAGATTTTTCAGGTACCAGGGGGATCGACTGTATAATAAGTTAAATAAAAGTGTTTTCCTCTATGACAAGACGAGAGAGAGTAAGGTGGCAATGACTAAATGTTATTATAACTTAATTATGTTGTGACTGAAGATTTGCTTTGCGGTCTGGTATGATTAGACATACATGCACACGCACGCGCACGCACACCCACACGCGCATGCGCACGCACGCACGCACTTAACTTTGGTAGTTTTATGTTGGGCTTCAAAACTAAGACAAATCAGCATCAAAAAATTAATTTGATACTTATTTTTAAAAGTAAGTAAATGTTGATTATATTTGTATACTAATGTTATACTAGTTATAATATATAATTTGGCCTGAAAACGTATTCGGAAACGCAAGCAAATTGGCTTCTGGCACTCGCGGGCCGCTGCCGCGACACGCTTGCTTTGGTAGCTTAAGCTCGGCTCATGCTGTTTTTTCATATGCTAACCTAACATGGCGGGCGCAACCAAGCAACCAAGATTCATTAGGAGATCAATATCAAAAGATATAAATCAAAGGTTATAAATATCATCAATCGTTATTGAGAAACTCCGTAAAAATAACCGTAAACGCTGTATCATCTTCCACCACGATAATGCCAGTTCTCACACGGCCAGACAAATGATTTTTTGAAGGTGAACAACGTTGTCCTTATGAGCCATCCCGCGTACAGTCCCGACTTGCCACCTTGTGACTATTATTTATTTCTAAAAATTAGGAACCAACTACGCGGTCAACGATTTTCATCATCTGACGAGGCTGTCGAAGAGTATGAAAAATATGTTTCAGAGATTGTCACGAAGGAGTGGCATAAATGTTTTCAAAATTGGTTCATTTGTCTGAAAAAATGCATTAACGCTAACGGAGAATATTTTGAGAAACAATAAATTCATATCTGACCATTTATAGTATTTTTTTCTTATTCATTCCGGAAACTTATAGTGTGCCCTACGTATGCTTCAACTTAATAATAGTGTTACATTGAATGCAGTTCATTTATAAGTTATACGTAGATCAACTAATATTAGTTGACGGAATAATTAATATATATATTAAACATAAAAAAATATTGTTTATTTAAAAATTGTACATTTACAATAGATCAATAATTTTAATAAAGGCGATAAATTTTAATAATGACAATCACAGTTTTAATAACTGAAATAAATATATCACGGGGAGGTTTATCACACATTGCATTCCATGCTACGGCCGTAAGTGAGATTATGAATTGACGTAAACCTATTAAAGAATGATTAACAGCGTTTTTGTAGATATCAATGTATTTGCATGTTAATTGTCGGAATTAGTGGTAACTTTGCACATTCTTTTTGTTACTGACATTGCTATTATATTATTAAATATAAAAAAAAAATCTTACGTGAAAGTTATAAAAATTCGCTCTTTGTCAGATATCAGATGTAAAAATTTATTCCCTGAATTTGCAAATACCGAATAGGGTGTCTATTCTTCAAAAACGTGCGCTAAGAACTATAGTAGGTATAAAAAGAACACTCCTGCAGTAACATTTAAAAAAACCATACAATGACAACGTACAATACATCTATGATAATAGTTTATGCGCGTCAAAACTTGAGCACTTATGAATGACGTACGAGCGGAGGCCGAGCGTTGCGAAACGCAGGAAAACAAAATCCGTTGGCCACCGCCCACCGTACTTAACTCGCAACGAGAAATCTTCGGATAAAAGGGCCCGATTATATGAACATTTACACACAGACCCGTAGTCCACTGTTGGACATAGGCCTCTCCCAATGCGCGTCATTTCACCCGGTCCTCAGCTCGTTGCATCCGTCTGCTGCCAGCAGCCTTCGCAAATCGTCACTCCATCTGACCAGGGGGCATCCTACACTACGTTTACTAAGCCGTGGTCTCCACTCATGACCTCGCTTTCCCCATCGGTTATCGGTTCTTCGACAGATGTGGCCAGCTCACTGCCACTTCAGCTTGCTTATTCTACCAGCTATGTCGACGACCTTGTTTTCTGTCGGATAACCTCGTTCCGTACCTTGGCCTTCAAAGAAACTCCGAGCATAGCTCGTTCCATAGCTCACTGAGGAGCGACTTTTAACTGGTGGTGTAACCGTATCGTGAGTGCCCACGTCTCGGCTTCGTATGTCATAACAGGTAGAACGCACTGATTGAAAACCTTTGTTTTCATAAGCTTTATACCCGAGTAAAACTCCTTTTATTGTATAATGAATTCTACAGTGTCTATGAGTTTCTTTTGAAATTATGAAACATTTGTGACATAAAATAGGTACACATAAATATTTAAATTAACATTATTTCAGAAAGGAGTAGAGATATGTATCAGTATACGGCACGCAGTACCATCGACGATCAATAGCTGATGTGGCTGTATCCGCGTTGACCTTTATTAGAGCAATCGGCTTGTGATCTAACCTTTAACATAATCTTTAACAGTATAGTAACAGAGTTCGTCCAGGGAAGTGCTGCCACCTTATCTATTTCTGCCGCCAAGCTGTAATGTGAGCATTACTGCGTTCCGGTTTTGTAGCCTACTTGGTCTGTAGTTCTATTGGTAAGAGCCGTGGCCTCGGTGTGGTAACAGGCGCTGGTTCGGGTCAAATCGTAGGAAGTTTTCTTTTTGCTGTTCTATCTTTGTATCAATAAGAATCTGTTGTAAATTATTTGAAATAATTTATAACAGGTATGTTAATAGCAGTAGAGCTCCTTGTGAAAGAGTTTGTCCAGGTAAGTACTGCCACCTTACTTATTTCTGCCGCCAAGTAGTAATGAGAGCATTACCGCGTTCCGGTTTTGAAGGGTAAGGGTGCTGGTGAAATTACAGGCACATGGGACTTGTCAACTTACTCCTCAGAGTGACGGGCCCTGTGGCAGTGCCCCTTAGATCTTTGTGATTTGAAGCTCTGAATGGCACTGCAACTGTTATGGACAGGCGTGTCGCTTACGACTTGTTCGTCCCTTCATTTGGTACCATTAAAAAAAACCATTATGATTAATTTTAAAAACTTAACCACTGTTAGGCAACAGACTCTGTTTCAAATGCAATCGGATTAAAGGAATTTTTCTTTGTGTTTATTCGATCTTTGTAATATATAATATTAATATCAAACTAATGGGGTTTTGTCACAAAAAAATATACAAATATCAAAGCAGTAAAGACTTTATGATATTCAACAAAATAAATATTTTTAAAATTTTTCAAAAATTGTCCTACCATCGTGCAACGCTCTTAATCCAGCACCTATACCCTTCAAAATTAAAATACATTAATGCAAATTACTCACTACATTACTGCTTGGCGGCAGAAATAGGTAAGGTGGCAGTAGGTACTTCCCTGGACGACCTCTTCACAAGGAGATCTACTGCTACAGCCAAGAAAAATAATATTTTAATTAAATTTATAGCTTTCAAGTACCTATGTTTCAACGTAATTGAGTGTGAGTGCCGCAAACAGCCTGATTTAATAATTCGTATTTGGAATTGCGATATTAACAACATCAATTTTATTTTATTTGTTTAATTCTCTATCAAGTAACATTAAGCGCTTGCCACTTGCGAGAATTCTACGTATTAATTAACTGTTGTCCTCAATCCTAAATTTTTGTACCTTTTTCTTAAAAAGTGAAGTCTACTTAAAAGGGAGAAAAGACACACGATTATAATGACGTCACGTGGTGTGCTTAGTATTTAAAAATATTGCATATATTTACAGATATTTATTAAAAATCGTTATTTCATAGAAATATTGATTGAATGATCGTTTTTATTACACATTCTTTAAAACTACGTTATTTTTCTGATAATAATCAGATTATATTGCAAATAAGCAGAATCCGATTGCTCATTTGTAATATAATTTGTTTTGTTTTTGCGTTGTTTTATGCTAATCTTGTTCTAAGTTTTTTTAATAAAGTACCATTGATATTTTTATTTTGGTCCGGAATAAAAGAGTTATTTATATATTCGAGATGGCGGAACAGAATTCGATGCGGTTTTCGGTAATTTATCAGCGATTTTGGACTTTATCAGCAATGTGTTGTTTAGATAATTTGTATTATGCAATTCGACTAGGGAGCTATGTATGTAAGCTCTTTAGCATGTCTAAAATTTACAATTTTGTACTACACAACCGGGTGAACTACGTGATTTGATTTCGTATCTCCTAAGAACTAGGGATGCGGCAGACGTCTGTGGCATCCTTGCTATGAACTTCTTATGGAGTAGGTCATTGTTTAATTCACCTCGTCTTTTTCAGAGCCCGTCGTTTTTACTGGGACCATTGCTTCATGTTCTCAACGTCCATGTTAATAGGATTGGTGGCGGTGTTCGCCATTCCTTCAATCCTGAAGGTGCTCGTGGGGTCTAGACGATCCTCGTCTCTTTACACTGCGTATAGGAGATATCTGTCTACATTGCTTCATACTGTATCTTGGTTCGAGCATGAATTGAAGCCGAATAGTATGTGAGTAAATTTTCATGTTTTTTTTAATCTTTATTTGTTTATAAAGAGTTTTACAAAGCCACTCTCATAGTGGCTCTCTTAGGAGTCAATACAACTTCAAATGGCTTTGATGGATCCGCATAACAGTGGAAGTGTTGATTCAATCCCACTGATTCTTAAAAATTTCCACTTTAGAAAAAAACCACAAACTTGCCTCGAAATTTTACAAGAAAACCGTAATTCAAAAGGTACTTTACATATACTAATGATTTTTTTTATACCAACTGAATTAAATAGAACAAGTATCTTATACGATGTACCTACATCAAATGGCTTCAATTTCGTTTGTAAAAAATGAATTTAGAAGTATTTCTGAGCTGAGATCATGAGCCAGTGTCCCTGCCGCTCGATCCAAGCAAAATGAACCGTATTAGCATGGGAAAAATTTGAATTCGACTCTTAAGCTACACATTTATGAAAAGTTTCTTTGTTTTGGACACGTTTGAGCGAAATACACGTTTACTTAATATAAATACAGTTGTACACATGGTTATATTTGAATATACCGTCAATAATCCTGGGCGCAATGAATATAACGTTTTTTTTTGGAACTCAATCATTTAATAGAAACCATTACCATACTAACTTTAGAAGGAAAACAACATAATCTGACCTTCCAACAACCTTTGCAGCAGAATCACAACAGCTTTTCGGCCTCGCTCAGGCTATATCCCATTAACAATTTCTTATTTCTCATGGGTAAGACAACATTTCTTAACAGTTGTGTTTTTAACAAGAGGGAGGACTTTGTCCGGAGCGAGGCTGAGAGGCTTCAATTGGGCATCAAAAACAACTTGCTAATGTGGGTATAATGTAACAGCGGTCAACTCTACATCTAAAGTTGCCAGAGCGCTATATCGTATGGTACAAAAACGTAGATAATTAGTATTTATATATACTTAATGATTTGTATGCAGTGTGTTTGACTGTTGCTATATTTCTAGGCTGGTGGCATATTCTCTTGAGAATAAAACCTCTAATAAATAAAGAAGAAAAATTATATCAAACCGCCCAATTTGACACTTTAGGCTCAATTTACATAGCCACGGAAGGGAATAGAAGCATATTTTTCTAACCATAGCATAATAGAACTTGATGTCAATTGTGTAACGTACACACTATATACCATCAAAAAACCAGGTCTTCTGGTCTTCTGTTCTATTCTCGCACAGACTCGGGAATTCCCTCAATTACCATATCATACCTAGTTTTTCAGTTCATTATGCTATGTGCAATTTCGATACAATTCGCTTCCATTCCGTTACGCAGCAATATAAATTGAGCTCTACAGACCGAATTCTGGGGAGTCAACTTGAGGGCTTCGGCCTCGTGTCTAGCTTGAGATGGCGACAGAGATAATCCACATTTGCAGTAAAAGACGACTAAAATAGTTTGTATCTTCTTGCAGATCATGGAAATCGCTGTACGCAGTCCGCAGCCGCCATTTGCGGGCAAGCCTCGCCTCGAAACTAAAAGACGAAGGCATAGTCTCACAAAGGGACATCGCTTTGACACAGTTCGGATTCATAGGTTTCTCCGTGTTGAAGCCTGACCGATTTGGTATACGACAAATGCAGCCGGGTGATTGGGAAGCGTACAACCATTTTTGGAAGACTATTGGGTTTATGATTGGATTGGAAGATAGGTGAGTTTTTAGACACAGTAGGTACGTCCACAACTTGCAAAGTTAAAGTAAATAAATCTCCGAAAACTAACATGGACTAAGTTGTAATGACTACCTGGCGCTGGACGCGGGCTAATCAGGCATAACAACTATTTGTAGTGGACATCGAGTTCTTAGGTTTTCGCGATTGTTACACTTAGGAAATGAAACTATTTTTCCGGTTTTAAATCGCTTATATTAGTTTTTTCAAACATACCAACGTTTCGGACCCTTTACAAAACGAATTTAAATCCAGAAAAATAGTTTCATTTCCTATATTTGTAGTGGAATTCTTTTGGAGTGACTAGTGATATCAGATACGGTGCAAAATTAACATGGATTCGAACAAACGCAAACTGAACTTAATTTAAATGTAGACCGTTTGTCTATTTCATTGTCGGTCTAAAAAACATTTAATTTCAGTGTACTATTTCTCTTACAAATTTAGTTGTGTGTAGTCACATACACAAGATTTAAGAAGAGAAGAAGCCGACCTTTTGGTTCTGAGCACAAAAATGTGGAGTTTTCTCCACATTTTAGTTAAACAAAGTTAATCATTAACCTGTGAGCCGTAAAATTTATTTTGGTTGACTCCCGTCGTCTCATTTGTGAATTATATTGTAAGAAAGTGCCAATTTGATTTTTAAGATATACTCCTTACTTAAATACAGAATACACATTTCAACCAGCTTTAGTAAGGCCGTCGTGGCCAAGCGGTATAAGGGTTGCTTTGCAAGTTAAGGCAAGCGTGGTTCGAGTCACATTAAAAATAAAATATTTAGCTATGACCATGTAATATATATTTTTTTGTTTTTAACCTCTGGATAGGTGTAAGGAAGGTCTAAGTCTTGTACATACAGAACAGTAATTTTTAATTTTAATAATACTGTTAAGTGCGCCATATTAAAACAAGAAAGAAAACATGGAACGAAATGTGGAACAATGCGTAATCACAGAAGACATCGTATGCAAACTGTAGAGCGATTTCGTCATTTGTTAATCTATCCATACCCACCCTACACTTTATTAATAATATCTACCCACCTTAGGCAATTTCTAGTGAGCAAATATTGTGGTTTGTCAACGTTATCATTAAAAAGTTAAACAATGCTTTTAAAAATATAAAAAACAAAATAGTGCTCGTGGAATCGAACCACGGGTATTGTAACTGGCAGGCCATACAACAAGCCGCTCGACCAATTTACTCGGATGTTAAATGACGAAATTTGGTCTTGGTTTTAAAAATATGATGATTATCTTCAAGCGACACACGCTTATACAATAAAATTGAAATTGCTTTAATTTTTTCTTCGAACCAAAAGGTCGGTTTGGGCGTGTTAGAGGGTCAGGTATCTCATGTATATGACTGTAAGTTTTATTTAAGTTTACGGGTATCGATTAATTTAACAGCTCGAAACTAAAATATTTATTTTTATTTTCCCCACTGATAACGGAAGTTTTTCCGAAGCTGCGCCATTGTGATTTTAAATTAGTTAATTTTTCGATTAAAATAGGATAACAGTAATTTACTACTCAATTTATTCAATGTTAAGTACGATGTTTTTACTATTAAACCAATATATAGACTGCAACAAACACACGGAGAAATTCGTAAGATCAGCTGACTCGGTCTGTAGTTCCATTCGTAAGAGCGGCGTCTGGTTCGCGTCGAGTCAAATCGAAGAAAGTTTTCTTTGTGCTGTTCTATCGTTGTATAAATAAGAATGGCATCTGTTATATAAATTATTTCAAAGACACAACTGTTAAAAGAAATTCTTTTCCAGATACAACATTTGTCGAAACACAATAGAAGAAACCCGCCAAGTATGCCAATTGTTACTTGAAAGAGTATTCACTCCTTGCCTAGAGAACGTTCCAGAATACTATGAGCACATGGCTCGTGTAATGCTGGATGGATTCTGGACCGTGAACCCTGCAGTCAATGAGGATGCAGTCTTGTATTTCACTAGGTATTTAGCCGATGTTCCTGGGTATATTTATACGGAAAATGATAGAATTACATTTCAGAGGAAACTGAAGGCACAATTGAAGGATAAACCTGAGAGTACAGGTGAGCAATTTTAATAAATTACAATGTTGTGTTATTGAACGTATATTTTAGCCATGTTCAGCATTATTATCATATACAACTATACATATATGCTACTAGATGTACTCGATGGCTAACTAGTAAGGAAGAAATATTCTTAATATTGAAATTATCCTTGGAACGATGATTTGGGTATCATCACTCAGTATCAAATCACATGTTTTTTTGTTAGTAATCAGCAGAGAACTCGTAAAATGAACGGTTATTCCAACTGATTCAATTACATAATTTGAATTATTCATTAAATTGATTTCTAATTGGCAGTAATTAGCCGTCTCCTACCTGTCTATGGTTGGGTTAATGGCCTGTTGTTTACCTTTAATGCAAATTGATTGAAAAGAACTATAGTATTAATTGATGCAACATAATAAATGTTGCGATTTCCCAAAAACTATGGAACCGATTTTTTAATAAAATGTTTTAATGTTAGTAAGTAGTATTATTCTTTATTCTCTGGTTAGAGATAAGCCACTAAAGCGGCATCCATAATGGCAAGCTAAGTTGGCTCTCACATTTGTGCGATTTACCTGCGTTGTTTTGCTTGAAATTTTTATTTTTAACACCTTTATACACGAACCCTATTTCAATGCTTGTTAACGCCTACTTACCCTTGTGCCTCTGTATTATGTCCTTTTCAATTTTATGAAATAGTGCGAAAGAGAGCAGCCTATACTAAGTCGTTAACTTAACTATACCTAGTATAGTAGATATTCTACAGAAATATCAGTTGATTAAGTTATGATTTCTGGATTTTTAAAATTTGTAGCCATATCGGATTCTTGTTTTTGTGATTACACGTTCTTAATGTGTGTTATTTATCACCGAGCTAATGTGTCATAATCTCATAAATAAACGTTATCACAATATATTATCACAGCGAAATGAAAAACAACTAGTCTTTAAAAAAAATGTAACGAATATTTTACTATGGTTCCAGGTGTCGACTCCACAACACTGATCTGCAAGGCAGAAGTTAAAGGTTTACCTGAACGTTCCCCCAGACTCCTCTATCTTCATAACTATGACAGTATCGAGTCAGTACCTGAGTACAAACAAATCAGTTGGTGGTCTAAGTACAAACTGGGTCTGGCATTTTTAGTCTCACATTGGTACTCTTTTTACTTAGGAAGGTTGTACTTCAATCTAAATTTCTTATGCAGCCTTATATTTATGAAATACTTCCCGTATGTAGCCTTTTTCAGATTTGGTATAAAAGCTTCGTTGATCGATCTTTTTGTTGAAAGTCCGGCTGATAACACAAAGCCGAAGGTGAATGCAGAATATAATAAGAAGAATAGTAGGCCTTGGTATATATCATGGTTGACGATCTTGTGGTGATAGCTGGCACTTGTGACTTAGTTGACGAGCATTTGATTTTATAAAGGGGTTTTCTGGTGGCGGTAATGGCATAGTATAAATAAGAGCAAGTAGGCCAACTCCCGCCTGTTCGGCGTGTAAATGCCTACACTTCGCACGGAGTTTGGGTTGTACATTATAATTATAGTTGTACCTACAGGTTGTGAACCTAATTTGAGAATTTTAAATAAATATATATATATTTGTGTGTGTTGTATAATACTAGTATACATAAATGTAGGTAAGAAGTTAGTAAGTACTAAGTAGGCTACATGTTCATTACAGTATTGTCGTGCTGTATTAAAAATAACCTTTGTTAAATGCAGTCGGTATTTACGTATCGACATTTTTATACCAGGGACAATTAACAAGTCAACTGTTTGATTCATTTTTTAAAATCGCTTCAGTTGTATAATTTTAGAGACGCGTGTGACGACCCGCGCTCTGCAATGCGAGTTCACTGCAAGATTATGCGAATGTGTGCGTACGTACACGTCGCGCGTGCACACGTACAAATAAAGAGTTACCATACTTGCCTTATTATACTATGGTAATAGTCTTCCCTTATTATTATGTACAAACTGCAAACAATTGAAGTACAACTTTGTAAAGTTTGATTTTTTTATGTTTCACGTGTAGATTATTTTTCATAAAATAAATCAATATCGTTTTGTCGGACAAATTTGGCTTTGACCGGACTTAGTATACCATTTCAAATTTGTCGCATTTAAGTTTTAATAAACAGTGTATGTATTTAGTATTTATTATGGTCCATGTAACGGCTATTATATTGTTTTGTTATGTATGACAAATCCAATGGATTATTAAATTATTTAGATATTAGACAAGTAAGTGTAGTTTCAACTTGAGTCTATTATGACTCAATGTACCTTGACGATCAAATGTTGTTAAGAAAGTGCCTTGTGGTGTAGACAATAACAATATATGGACTCAGAGGTACGCTAAAAACGTTTGAATTATGATAGCAACGTTCCAACGACTGGCCACAAGTACGATAGAACATTTAGTAATACATTTTTCCGTTCTTTGGGACAGGCTAAGGCGTCTAATTAGTCATACTGCCAGATGTTAGATGTGTGTGTGATTTTTCTTCAATTGTTCAATTTTCTGCCGTTTTTTCGCGGGAAATCGTAACTTCGTATCTTTTTCCATCCTATAAGCGTATATCTACGTCGTATGATATAAGCGTATATCATACGATGGCCATTTTACAATACAATACAATATGCTTTATTTTCGTCAATAAGTTTATAGTTACAGTGTATGAATACATTAAAATACAATTATTAATTACAAAAAAATAAAAATAACAATTTTGAAACCGCTAGAACATTTAAATAGAAATCAATCGCCGAAATAGACGAATGAAGTAATCCTTTTTTCACATTAAATGTTATCATATACGTGGCCAGGTCATATAAACATGATCATAATTCAATATTTTTTAGCGTTTCTGGATAATGTGTCCATGAGCGTATATAAAACATTGTGTTTTATATGTTTATTTTTTTACATGTCAATTTTTTTCGTGTAAATGTGTCCATGTTTTTATTCAATTGTTAATAATTTTTATAATAGTTATTTTCATGTCAACGTTAAAATACATATCAAATAAAATTAATGCAATAAAATGTAAAGGCTTATAGTTAGGACATATATTATCTATGCAATTTATTGCATATTTTTCGAATTTATTAATCAATATTTTATCATATTTTTAATTAATATAATTCTTTAATATGAAAACTTAATAGCTTTCATACCAATATATAGCTGATATAAGTGTTACCAGTCATTTGTACAGCAGTGGCGTAGCGTGGGGGTGCAGAGGGGGGGCCATGGCCCCTGAGCGGCACAATAATGGGGGCGGCGGCCAGCGCGGTCGAGCCCTAACTATTCAAAATGATTTTTTTTTACTTTAAATTTGAAAAAAAATTCCACTATTTGAGAAAACAAATATACTGAACAAAACAAAGATGGCAACGCCAGGTGAACATAAAAGCACAATCAAGCAGAGCCTACCCGACAGAACTACTTTTGTAATTGTGAAAATAGAGGGGGCAGCAAATTTAAGGTTGACCCCGAGTGGACGGAAATCGCGCTACGTCACTATTGTACGGTGTTCATAATATTGGTAAAACACTATGCGTTTTTATAAGAGAAAGAACAAAAAATACGCAATAAAAATAATTTTGTATGAAATGTATTAATTTAGAAACGCCCAAAAATAAAACATTTACAATATAGTTCAAATTCGTGTATTTTTATTTTCCTGTACCGCAACTTGGAACAATAATGTATATATTGTAGTAGTATATATTGTTTTATTTCAAAATAACAATCTATTTATAGCACTTCATGTATCCATGTATATTTTCAATTTGATGCGTTATTGTTGCTACAGCAGTAACGAATATAAATTTTCTTATGAATAATAATAATTATCCCAGAATTTAGTCATAACTAGGGTAATTTTTTTCTAAAGCCACACTTGTACTCGTTATCGCTAAACATGAGTGGTTACACACGGTTACTTTTAGCAACGGTGCAAACGCGCGTTTGTATCGATGCAGACGCGCACTTGCAACGTTGCTTAAAATCGCTCGCGTGTGTTGCATCGCGTTTGTGTCGCTGTTCAGCGCAGTCAGCGTGTGTCACCGCTCTAAGGGTCGTATTCCAGAACTGTACTCAATGCTCAAGTCAGGATTTACTGGAAATACGACCCTAATGGCAAGGACTTGAGTATGATTTTCAGTGGTCACTGCAATACTAAAGTCCTGACTTGAGTATTGAGTAGAGTTCTGGAATACGACTCTTAAAAAGACATTCTCTAATTGTTGACAAAACATTATAAATATACCAAAGATAAACCTTTTAACGTTTTTTGTACTATCTGACACTTTTTAGATCTATTTGATAGTAAAGTGGTGAATCCAAGCGTCCTCAACGACGACTCCCGCATTTTGCACGGAGTTATCGCCATTTAGAGTGATGTATTTATATATTTTTGTATGAAAGTAAAATTGAGGAATTATTAAGACAGAACAAAACTTGTTGTTTATGACGTTAGTAATACAGTCTTTCGAGATTTTTAGTATGTTACAAATAACCCTGTAGTTATTATAGATAAGGTAGTAATAAAAGCTCCGAAAAGTAAATTCAAAATTATATTGCAACTGTAAATCCATAAGGAGCTTAATATCAGGCGCCCGACTTGTTCGTTCCATCAGCCCTCATGGAAAAATGACATACGTGGCTTTACGTCAAACATGTTTATTGTTCCATTATATACACAAAAATATAACCCACAGCCTCTCCAATTTCTGTAACTCTAGCACCTAATATTGTAGATAGAGTTACAAGAATTGGAGAGGATATGGGTTATATTTTTCAGTATCTAATGGAACAATAAACATGTTTGACGTAACTCCACTTATGTTATGCTAACATGAGGGGTGCGATAAACATTACTTCGTTAGTTACTAAACTAACGAAATTTTTTGTACAATTAAGAATACGGAAATAACCGAACGTAATAGGTCATTATCATGAATGGGTCAATATCATGAGTCTACTTTCGTTTTCCGTCCAAAACAATTACTGTCAAGTAAGACTTAATACTCGACCAAATTAAAATACAATGTCAAGTATGAAGCTTCATTTGTATTATGTATCTTTTAATTTGTTCGAGTATTTACTTATTTGGCTGTAATTGTTTAGGACGGATGTCGGACGGAGAATGAGAGTAGGTATAAAGATTAGTGGTCTCTACCTAATTTTGGTGGCAATTTTGATTATTTAAATATTTAAGTATATTATCGTGCAATATTATTTAACATATCAGGGTGTTGCGATGATCTACAACACTGAAATATTGACATAAAACTATTTAAGAGGCTGAGATGTATTATTACAAAAACGCTGTTACTCCAAAGAATTTTAAATTTTTTGTTCATTTAGTACATTGTTGTTTTTTATTTTATATATTTTTTTATTTATTGTTTTAAACTGTTCATTTTGACTCATAATAATTTTATGTACTTGTGTCCTGACATTTTATTATTGTTCATTCATTATTTTATTTTAATTTCTAATAATTTATCTCACTTTGTTTCTTAATTAATTTGTATGATTACATTTAAATCCATGACATTCAAACACAATTATGTACATTGTTAATTAATAAGTGACTGAATATTAAAAATTGCCATCGAAATAAGGTGGAGAACATTACCATGAAAATGACACACGGAAACGGAAAGTTCAGAAAATTCTTCGTAATACTACTCTTACCAATTTAATTTATTTTTTATCGAAAATTATTGTTAGCCATTTTTATCGTAAATCACCTATTATCAATTTAAAAGCAACCTTGCATATACATTTCATAAGTGTGTAAATGAGCACCCTCATTAAACTATTTCATCATATGGCAATGCTGTGAGTGACAGCATAGGATATATACATCGGTAAGTTAGTTTTTCTCAATTTTAATTTTTTTTCTTTATTTTGTAGATATATATATAATCTGTATTTATTCTTCTGTAACATTATAGCGCAGCTTATGTACACTTGCACTAAACGTAAGGCTCAATTTATATTGCGGCGGAACGGAATGGAAGCAAATTTTTGTAACTATATTGTACAAGCGAGCAAAATGAACTTTATGGTCAATTGTGTGACGTACAAACTAGATACGAACCAAAAAACACGCTTCCATTCCATTAAGTTCCACCGCAATGTGAATTGAGCCTAAGTCAAACCAACGGTTGCTATGCATAAGACATTATTAATTTAAGCATTTGTTTAAAGACGTACTTAAGCTTAATGCACACTTACATTAGTATTAATTAGAATTTAGTTTCATTTAGTATTGCTGCAATTTAATTTGTTTTTCGGAGCCTTTACTATTTCCCGTTGTCGTAGGGCCAAATCGGAGTCGAGAAGAGCTGTTTTAGCTACCAATAGCATATTGTTATTTTCACATCTCCAGCTGCTCGAATGTAGCCGGCTTCGCGTTATAGGCATCGCTACTGCTTGTAGGTGTTGAATTCAGTCACGCAATATGAGCTAAATTTTCGCAGGTATTATTTAGGAGTTAACTTTTTAGGCTCATGATAATATAGATGTTGCCACCATATAAGGATGTTTGATGACAATTTCACATCTCATGCTCTTCAGTTGTAAGTACACTCACCGGCACATTCTGCGGAACATAGCAAAATCCTGAAAATATTGCAGTGTTTTTTCAAAAGACAGGCTGGTTATCTTATTTTTTTATAAATATTTCAAATTAGACGAACAATATTTGAAAATAAAAAAACAGTCCACTGTATTTTTTTTAATAATTTGTTGAATTACTTACTAATACAGGTGTGTCGAGTGATTCGAGGTTGATTCTGCATTCTTAAAAATTTAGATGAAAAAGAATTTTTATTCATTAAATTCTGATTTGATCAATGTTAAACTGTTACATATTAAAATTTTCAGCGTATCTGCTTTGTCACGAAATCGATTTTTTCTTTCAATATAAGCTGAAGTAAGTTGATGTTAAAAGACGTTAATATAATACATACTTTAAGTCTATGAGCGCAAAAGTGGTGGAAACCACATAATTTTTTTTAATATAAAATTTAATAATTTAATATTTTAATAGCTACAAAATATAAAATTATTATGTATTTTAGTATCATTTAAAGCAATATTGTAGGAAAAAAATTAATATGGATTACACTACTTTTGCGCAGATAGCATCATTTATTTAAATACAAACGTTATTATTTTAAAGTCTCATCCGCTAAATGTGCCGGTAAATGTATTATGTATATTTTATAAGTTAGTTTTTCATGAGGTTGGTTGGTTTTCCATGAAGAACAATCATTTCACACTGCGCGGATAATTTGTAAATGTCTATATTAAATTACAATTGTCAACATTGTCTCACTAACACAACACTGTCATAATCAGTTACTTGAAGAAATCTTGCGCTTTTAACCTGGTACGTTTCGCCACGCTTATTTGCAACAAATTGTCTGTTATATTGTTATTTTCAATCATATTTGAACTCGTGTTGACACTGCCAGAAGTTGCAGGGATGCTCGAAGGGGTGGAAATCTTTTTTGTAGGGGTAACCAGTCTTCTTTGTGGGGTGGGAGTGCGTTTAGGTGTGGACGGGTGGAATATACCCATGTCATTGGGTGTGAGCTTGAGACGAGGTGATAACAGGTGCTTGGCGGCGAGTTTTCGTGCGGCAGGTGACATACTTGCCAAGCGCTCAGTGCTTGTTCTGAAACTGGGGGAAAAATTTTGTTCAATTAGATTATCAATATTTTTCTTAACTAACTGTTACTGTTGGATATTAAAGTCACTATCTATTCTTTAATCATTGAAATCCGCCATAGTTGCAGCGAGTCTCTATGAACACATGGAATGTTTGGCCATCTAGAATATAAACCAGAAAAAATGACCCACCGTCACAATGGTTGAACTTGAAACAGTAGTAGAAAGTTTCAACCCAAAAAAGGCTCCTGGTGCTGATGGCCTTACTGCCGATATCTGCAGCCAGGTAATATCAAGAGGCGCAGAATTGTTTCTGGTTATATACTCAATAGTTTTGGCAAATGCCGTCCATTGACAATATCGATGCCTTACTTTCTCAAACTCGTATCTTACAGTGATTCCTCAGGAGATGGCGAAGATTTCTATATATTTTAAATTTCTTATCAAGGGTGTTAATTTCGAAGCATTACTTTAAGAATAGGTAAAAGCTAGTGTGTGAATATGAAGGAAATGTGATGTGAAATCTGAAATCAGCCTAAAATATTTGTATATACAATCCATTTTTCGCATTCCAGTAACATAGTGCTTCAAGATACGAGTTTGAGAATGTAAGGCAACGATATTGAACTCGATGTTGAGGGCTGTCACTAATGGCTATAGCCTGTCTTTTATGCCGGGTGCACGAGTCGCTCGCTTGCGCCGGCCGCTTGCTTTGCGTTGGATTTCTTTGCGTTGCGTGTGTTTGATATCTAGCACGTTTGATATTTCCACACAAGCAACAGGGAACGTTTGCGGAGGACAGCACCACTGGCCAATCAAAGAGCAGCAGCGTCCACGCGTCCAATAAAACCAAAACATAGACAAGGTGCCGCATGCGCGCAAGTCTCTCCGCAAGACTCGTGAACGCCTTTGCGCGGAAGGCTGATTTCTACGCCGTGACCCGGCCAACGCAAGCAAGCGAAAAAGTCAAAGACTCGCGCACCCGGCATTATAATAATAAATAATAATAAATTTCTTTATTTCGGACTAAGTCTATAAGGGTTAGTAACAAAACACTTAAAAAACACTTAAGAATAGAGTTAGTATTGCAAATTGCTTATTTAACAATTTATTATTATAGGCCACATAACCAATGTGCATCCTAGACCAGTGATCTAGGAAGCAACCCTGTACACGGTTTGCAATTATACTCAGTAGGCTGTTATCACCGCCCCGAATCTTGCGCAACAAAGAAGCCGCCCTTTTTCGCATGATAGCTGAAAAGCCATCTAAGCGAGACACGGCGAACATTCCCGATGCACTGCAAAATCGAGGCAGTTTCAACAGCATCCTGAATAAATTATTATACAACACACGGAGGGAGCTTAGAGCTTTTTGGGTGTAATTGACCCATAGGCTACATGTATAAAGTGACTGACAGTACGCCTTGAACAACGTAAGTTTTAATTATGAAGATGGAATAAAGTTAATACAGTTCATTGCGCAAAAGTGTTGCCCGTCTGCAAGCAGCTAGTGATTGCGGTCGATAAAAAATATTCTATAGACTATCAACTGAACACTGGTCACGCTTATAAATAAATAATATATATAAGCGTGAATATGTTTCATTTGAATCATCGTCGGCCCATTATTCGTCCAATTACTCGGCACAGGTTCATTTGAAATGTCAATTTTTGTTAGTTCGTACTTACACACACTACATTTAGAACTATCTTTGTCTATTAAAAATAAGAATAAAGAAGGCTAGGACGCAATTAGTAATCATTAGAACGTCGCGTCGTAACATTCACAATTCAAGACATTTTTGGCAAAATGTTTAACTTTCACAATCTATCGATAACACTGTCGCCAACAACTGCACGAACATTTAAAATTTTATGAAAACTGGCAACCCCACAAATATCACTACTCCATCTTCAAAAAAGACGATAGTTTAAACCTTATGCTATTTAAAAACAATTAAACAACTTAGTTGATTAATAAAATGGTACTATACAGTGTTCGAATTATTGAAATAAGAAATCCCTAAGTTCATTGTAATT